CTACCTGAGAAGACAGAGAGCCCACTTACGAAAGAGGTTGGGAACTGTCCTGATGGTCAATGTGAACCCACTTCCTGGTTCATGGACCCGGAAGAAGATCATGGCCACGTTCTGGGAGGATCTGATGCTCCTTCGGCCAAGACCACTCTCACAGAAATCTATGTACCGCTCAGTTGTGGGGAGAGGGTGGTCCTGGGAACTGGGGAACTTCTCCCCTTTGAGAATCCAACCATCAAATACCTTCCAACAAAAACACACACAGAGGTGATCGCTCCCATCAACTCCCAAGGTGACAGGTGTGGAACCGACAGCCTACACTCCTCAACCCACTTGCTTTCCATTTGTATATATCTCTACTGAGAGGGTTATTTGCAAGTAATATTATTAATTATTTATTGCATTTTTTTCTTTATAAACCTTAAAGTTTCCAAAATAAGTAAACTTTATTATACTTCAGCCACCTTTGTAAATCAAACTACAGAAGCACAAGTTGGGTTTCAGTTATTCTTTCTTTTCCTCATTGAAATATGAATAAAATATCTTTTTAAAAAACACAGCAGCAGAAAAAAACCGAAGCTGCAACTTGACGTACCCGCCAACCGTTGTGTATGCCCATTCTCCTCGTTGTTTTTGTTTGTTTGTTTGTTTTACTTTTATCAGATAGTAAAATACCAAGAACTACCCCAACACTCAGACAACAATGGCTGGCGTATAGCTTAGGACCTTTCCCCCTTCACTTGTTAAAGTTTGCAATTGGACAAAATTGACTTTACTCTTAAAAACACCACAGGTCTCCAATTTAATGAGTCCAGTCTCGTTCCCATTAGCATCACTAGCTGCAAATTACTTCATTCCTCTTCTAAAGCGTTTCGAACCAAGGCACCATTTAAAAAATAATCCCAGTGCGCAGATTTTAGTCCTGCTCTTTTGAACTGGACTGGAGAACTCCATCAGCCATTCCGAGCTGACCTGTCTGGCTCATGGAACATGCCTGGGAGAGGCATGGAGCCTGTCCTCCCCTCCCACGGCCTCAGACTAGATTCCCTCTCAGCATCCCTCCCAGCAGCCTGCGTCCTACGGTTTTGAAGACCACCTTTAGGGGCCTGGGACATCTCCGGACCAGCAGGAGCAAAGCAGGCGCAGGTCTCAGACTCCGGGGGCGGCCTCCGCTCAGCACCCGCCCTCTCGGTGGACCCGAGCGCTGCGCTCGTTTGTACAACGGCCCAAGATTGTAATACAGCCTTTAGCAACGGGAGTTCAAGTCTTTGCAAGTGTCGGCCCCAGGAGTACACAGCGGGGAATTTAAAACATTGCAGCCTCTGAGGCCATCAGCCCTTCCTGGTGTGGGGCGAGGTCTTGAGGGGGAGAGGCGGTTCCTGTCCCAGCGGAGCGTCTAACCAAGAATGTCACCGGCTCCCCCAAACTCGGCTCCCCACGACGGGCGCAGCAGCCCGCCCATTTCCCCTCCGCGCGGCGCCCGGTGCCGGGCTGCTGGGTGGGGACACCTCACCTTCAGGAAGTCCCCGCCCTGGCAGTCAATGGAGACCAGGTCGTAGTAGATGGTGATGAACTCCTCGGGCTCGCTGATGAAGAAGGCAGCGCAGTGCAGCTGCGGCCGGTCGGCGGTGAAGGTGAACTGGCCCTGCAGGCTCAGCATGTCCAGGCACCCTGAGGGCGGGCAGGGCACGGGGCGCGGCGTCTCGGCTGCAGCCCCCGCGGCGCCAGCCCCCCGCAGCCCCTCCCGGCGCCCGGGT